GGACAAATCACCAACAAACACATGGAAATGTTTGCTCGTATCAACTTTTGCTTGCGAGCCCGGTTCCGTTGCCCAATTCACTTTCATCTCCTAAACGAACGCGATTTAGCTATTATCTCTGGCGAGCCACAAAAAAAAAGAGAATTTGAAAAAAGACCTAAGTTCACAAGATAGGGGAAAGTACGCAAGGTGAAAAAATAGTGCATGCGTGAAAAAATGAGGATTTTCAAACCTTGTCCAGAAGAATTCGTTTGTTCATTGCCTGGAGTGCTTGCGCAGCCGTATAATGATCAGCAAATTCCACAAATGCATAGGGGTCGCTGCCGCTCTGAAAAAAAACTTAAAATTTTTCTCAAAAATATCTCCCATCTAAGTGTGGCGCTGTTACACACCAAAATTCTGAGCCGGAATTTTTGAGTTATAAAAATTTCAAAAAAAATGAAAATAAAAAAATTTTTTTTGGGAATGTAACAGCGCCAAAATCTGAAAACTTACCACTGGTTGTAGCAGTGATGCGCCCGCTAAAAACATTAGGCTTGTCAAATTTTTTTCTTTTTTTTACTGTAAAGGAAACAATTGCTCAGCGATTAAGAACAACCAAACTGCAGCCAACGAGTAAATGAAGAGAGCAAAAAATGTACAATAACAAGGCAGACTGTATAAAATTAGGCAATGGTAAGACTTATTGCAACGCATATTTTTTGACTTAATCGCTGAGCAATGCAATTTTGGAGGATTTCAACAGATGGGACGGCTTCCTTAACGGTTTTTTTTTCTTTTTTTTTTTTGAGTATGAGTTGATTGTTTAATTCGAATATTTTTTTTTGTTTTTTTTTTGGGAGGGGGATATTTTTTCTGTTCGTTTTTTCTTTTTTCTCCTTTTTTTAGGAGGGAAGAGGGGAGGTATAGTGAATTCTCAGAAAGCAATTTGGAGAATTTTATGCATTTATATGTTTCTTTCTTCTTTTCCCCTTCTTTTTTCTTTTAAATAAATTAGAAATAGACCAAAAAAATTTCGTTGTATCAAAGAAAAAAAAGAAAATGAATAATGAATAAAAAAGAAAAAGAATAAGGAAAAAAGATGAATGAAATCTGAATGAAAAATTGGTACTTAGCCGAGCAATGCCAGCTGCCCGTGGGCTGAGTGTTAGAGTTTGTATGAGAGGGTGCTGGATCTCCGCAGGCATACAATATCTTCCACACCAGTGGCGTATATCTCTCTTATTATCTGCATAGTATATCATATCACGTCCGATTTTGATTTTTTTCCAAAAAATTAAAAAAAAAAAAAGAAAGGCGCAAAAAACCTTTCTTTTACAGCAATGAATGAATGAAAATTCGCCAA